TGTTAGCAGTAGTGAAGTGAAATCAGCCCAAAGAGCTTCAAGATCTGAAGACAGGGGCTGGAGTTGTAACTTGGTGGTAGAATGCTTGCCTTGCATGTGTGAGACATTGGGTTTGATTCTCAGCACCACATATAAATAAATAAAGGTCCATTAAACAACTTAACAAAAAATCTGAAGAGACAGATGGCTTGTGTCTCAATCTTGGCACAGAGAACTTGGAAAGAATGAAACTGGAAGATGGTGACAAGCAGGCTGAGAAAGGAGTACATACATAAAAATGGGTTTCCTAACACAGGCTATGTCCCATGTCAAAGTTTACTACAGGCTTCCATTGCAGGGAATCAGATGGTGTCCGAGGCTGTGGAGCAACTGGTCAAATCATGGCYCACAATGTGTGCCCATCAGCTCTCATCCTGGAAGCTACTTTGGGCACCTGAAAGCAGAGACTCCACTGTGCTCTAACCAGAATCAGTGCTCCATGTTACCAGCTGAGAAGGAGGCCATGGCTCTCAGGGTTTGAGTGCCCTGGGGGGGGCTGGGTCCAGGGCACCACCTCTGCTTGCCTCTTCTCAGCTGTTTTCCTCACCTAGAAACATGAGGGTCTGCCCATATTCCTTAGTCTCCATGGATTCTTGGGGATCCCAAAGCCTTTTAGAAGTTAAGGGTCGGGGCTGGGGATGTGGCTCAAGCAGTAGTGCGCTCGCCTGGCATGCGTGCGGCCCGGGTTCGATCCTCAGCACCACATACCAACAAAGATGTTGTGTCYGCCAAAAACTAAAAAATAAATATTAAAAAATTCTCTCTCTCTCTCTCACTCTATCTTTAAACAACAACAACAAAAAAAAGTTAAGGGTCATGGAAAGAAGCTGGGTTTGGTTCTTTTTCCTCTTACAGTATCTAAAGTTCATGCAAATAGCAGCAAAGGGGAAGCAACTCTATCTGGGAGAAATGTGTCTTTGTCTTTATGTGACAAGTTGCTTTAGGGCCTGAACTGGGCCATGGATCTACCTGCTCACCTTATTCAACTTTCTGAATCTTTTTAAAAAATTTATTCTGGTTTGTTATACTTGATGGCAGAATGCAATTCATTTCATATTACACTTATAGAGCACAATTTTTGTAGACACTGATTGTACACAAATAATATATAATATTCAACTTATTGGGTTGCAAATTGTAAACTCAAAATCCTAGTTATTCCATAAGAGTCAAGTTCTGTTTACAAATCTTAATACTCTATGAACAAATCTGGCAGATTCTCTATTCACCTTAAAAGGAGATTTCCTTCTCAGTTAAACTATTTTAAATGTTTCAAATTCAATGAACTCAAACATTACATGGTTTCAAAGTACTTAAAATTCTAACTATATACATGTTATTTCTAAATTTCCTTGAAGTTAAAGATTTTTCTCCCCAAAAGGAAAACAACATGTCAAACTAGACAGTTTTAGGACCACTTGCCCAAAGGATAATGGAGGGTTGGGAGTGGGGAGGAAAGCTGGTACTATGTTCCATCATTACTTCATTTTCAAATTGAATTAAAACCACAAATTCCTTCCCAGGTGACTATACAGCTAACTTGACTTTGCACTTTTTTGGCTCTTAAAATTATTATTTTCCATCTCATTCCAAAAAAACAAAAACAAAAACAAACAAACTTTCTTCATTTTCATCCTGTTTGCTAGGAATACACAATTCTTACAAATATTAAAATGATATGATATTCAATAAATGTCATTAAATGTAAAAAAAAAAAAATCCCACAATTTTCTGAATCTTGATCACCTGTATTCCTGGCACCCATAAGGCTTGGTCCAAGGGCTTGACAAGCCACATGAACTCAAAAAGCCTTGGTCAACCAGGCCTCCCCTCCAGCACCAATTCTGAGTGGCCCAAGAATACTGGGCATGCCAGGGCAGATGTAGGTCACTCAAATCACAGGTGGAGAGCAACTAGGAGAAATGCAGTCATGGACATGCCACACCTAGCCAGCAAAGCCCAGGATTAAGCAAAAGGAGACCCTGGCTAATGGTTAATTTGTAGCTCAGGTACCAGGTTTACCTGCTCTTAGCCAGTAGTGTCTAAAGCTCCAAATCAGGGACCAATAAACTTTTTTTGTAAAAAGTTATAATATTTTAGTTTTGCAAGTCATTCAGTATCTATTCCAACTCCTCATCTCTATCATTGTAGTAGCACAATAGCAGTAAAAGAATAGACAAGGTTGTGTTCCAATAACACTTTATTTACAGGCAGGAGGCCACATTTGGCTCAAGGACTGTAACTTGCCAACTACTGTCCTTGATGTTAGGAGATGGTCTGGCTGCCCAAGAGAACTGTCACCCAGTCCAACCCTCTGTGAGATGGAAAACACTCGACAGTCTGGTACAGTCCTGAGGTTGTACTTGAGGAAGAACAGGTTACTGTAGTTGAGAGTTTCTGACCAAGTGTGGATGCAGAGGCCAGATGTGAGGGTGGTCCTGGAAAAGCCTAAGCTTTCCTCCTTGGAAACACAACTGCTTCATTCCAGATCAGGCCCAGCCCTCCTACCCCCATACACACTCTGTCCCTGGTAGGAACTGTCCTTATTGGCCCACTAGGAGCCCCTGTRCTGAGGTCTGACCACCAGACCCTCTTTGGTGATGGCCCAGTTGTAGTCCTTTGGAGAGTCCAAAGCTTCTTCTATCCGGGACTCCAGATTCTCTCGGGTGATGAAATTTTTAGCCTCCTCCTATTGGGAGAGAAAAGGCCAGCTGCATGGGAGTCCTGCCCATGCTGACAGTCTGGGAAGCCTGCTGGCCTTTAGCCCACCTAGGGAGAGGCTCCAAGCTCTCCCTAGGAAACCATGCCTGGAGCCCCGGGGCCTATTTGAGTGCCCCACTGACATTCCAGTGGAATAATGTCAGACAGCCTTAATCATATTCCTCTTTCTTAGACAATCTTCCTGGGTCACAGCCAGAACTTCAAGCACCAGCTGTGATAACCTCTGTGTCCCAAGGGGTGGATTCAGTTCCTTGATGCTACCTGGTTATTCTCACAAACTCGGTACTTTCTGCCCTATTTAATTCAAGTCTCATCCACTGCCTCTGGATTATGCCTCACTGGTCTTACATGCCATTCTCAGCTTAGCATACTAAACCTTTATGACTTTATCAACTGCAAGGTCAAACGCACCCTCCTTGTGTGCTAACACCTGCCAGAAGCTTGTACACTTTCCCAATTCTACTCCCATCTCCTTCTCTCTTGGTGCTTCACAGGCATTTCCCTTGGGCACCTGCTCTCAGATCCCTCTGTTAACTGAGTCTGCATGCCCAGGAGCCCCAGCACCTCCGGAGCCGTGGCCCACCTGCAGCTGTAGCACTTCTTGCTCCTTGAGCTGCATCCAGGCCTGCTCTTCCCGGGTGCGGCGGGCTCGTTCCTCGGCCTGCCGCTGCTCCTGCTCCTGCGCCTCCAGCAGCAATCTCGCTAACCTGCGAGGGGCAAGAGGCCGAGGCTGAGCGGGGCCCAGCTAGGCCAGGGCACCCCGCCTCGGGTCCCACTCACCGCAGCTCGTGCAGCCGCTGGTTCTCCGCCTGGTTCCAGGCCATCAGCTCCCGGTGCTCGGCGGCGTCCTCCTGCGCCTTGCGCTCCGCCAGGACCCCCGCTCGGGCCTCGTGCACCTTCTTCCGCACCTCCGACACGAACTCCAGCCTGGGCGGGGACGCGCTCCAAGTCGGCACCCTCTCTACCCGCCCGCTCGCCCCAACACTCCCCAGAAGGCGCCTACGGTCACCTGCCCCTCCGTCACACACACCTGAGGGCGCGCACAGTCTGGCGATACTGCCGGTAACGCTCCGCCAGCACGAAGAATTCCGCAGGATCCACCGCGGGCGGGGTCTTCACGCGCCCCACCTTGGACTTGGCGGGCGGGTCGTGGCGAGTCTTGCGGCCGCGCGCGGGCAGCAGTAGCAGGGCCGGAGCCCGGCACGGGGGCAACGAGCCCAGGCCGCTCAGCGTGCGGAGCATGGCCGCGTCGYTCTGCAGCCGCCCGCCGCCGCCAGGCCCGGAAGCGGCCGCACGGCACCTCGGGACCTGCAGTCCCCGGGACCCTGCCCCTCCCCGGGGGGCGGAGCTCGCGCGCGGCTTTCCCACCACTCATCCCCGCCCCCGGGCTCGGCCCGGCCCTCCCGGCAGGCGTCCAGGCTGCGGGGTCCTGCAGCCCCTGCTCCATTAGGGAGTTTCTGGGGGAGTAGGATTGGGAGGGGATGAAGGAAAGAGCTCGAGGCAACAGCTTCGCAGACTTCACACTTTTATTGAAGGATGGCTGGACGGGGCGCTCGGGCTGCGTTCTGTGAAGGGAGAGGGGTGGTCATACCTCGGGCTACTCGGTCCCCTTCCCTCCTGCCATCTGGTCAGTTGATCTGCTTTCACGTTGCTCGGATGCACCTCGCTGCTACAGGAGCCTGAGAACCCAGCTTGGGGATTTCCAGCCCATGACCCTGTTCACCCCAAACAAGCTTGATGTGTAAAAGCCCGAGCTAACATCACTTAAATTAGGCGATAAGGCTGTGCCTCCTAGGAAATTACCACTTCCTCCTTTAGTTCATGTGCACCCCTGGTGCACTTTACATGTGTTCTATTTGCAACTAGTAATAACTCATTTTCCTACACCTGTATTCTTCTATGGTCTTGGGGAGGTCTAAAGTCACTGAGTTGTTCCGAGTCCAAGTCAGTGACCATTTGGCTCTTTGAGCACTGCTACCTGTGTGAGGTGCACTCCTTCCCTCTTCCCTCTGGCCAGAGGGCCTGCCCACCTTGAAACACACCTACTTGGCTGTCATGAAGTCTAGGGAACACCACAGCTACCACTCTTTTATATGAGCCTTTTTAATGCAGTTGTTCTACTGGGGAAAGAGGCATCCCAGTGGTGTCTCACACTCCCCAGTCTCCAGGCAGGATGGCCAAAGGGGACCCATGGATAATCTTGAACGAAGGAGACCTCTTACCGCACTCACCATTAGGGTCTACACCAGGTGCTGGTTCCTGTGGAGGGACAAGCCGGCCATGGTCCTGCCCTTCCAAGACATTGGATCCTCAGGGGGAGCCAGTGCATCATTTGGTAGGCTATCGGCAGCCTGAGTTGGGTTGCCAGCTGCAGAGCACAAGACCCTTCCTCAGAAGGGAAYAAAGGCACCTGCCCCCACATTCCTAACCCCAGGAACCAGCATTGTCTTCTTCCCACTCAAGCTGGGAGGACCTATCACCAACCTGAGGACCTAAGAGCACTTGGGAGGTCCTGGAGTGAGCTGGAGGCTCGCTTTCCTCCGGGGTACCAGCCATAGGACCAGTGCTGAGCCCTCGAGGGTCCAGGGTGGGCAGTCAGCAGCAGTAGGAGCAGCAGCAGAAGGCCTAATCTAGAGCTAGCCATGGCAGCACTGCTCTGCAGGACAGTGGAGAGCACTCAAAAGTCTGACACTGCATCTCAGGGCAGCTTATTATTTTCCAAAGCCTTTCCCTCCCCCAGTCCTCCCCCAGAGCTCTGGAGCGCAGGCTCCCTCCCCAGTTCTGAGGGCCCTCTTAGTTAGCCAGGCCCATCCCTCCTTCCTTTGGGGAGTTCTAGAAGTGGAAGATTAAGAGGGGAATAGACTTCAGGCCAATAGAAGGGAAGATGGTTGGATGGTCAGGGGAATTCTCCATAAGTCAAGCGGCAGAGTAGGGTATTTGGAGCACCTGAGTTTCTGCCCCTTTTCTCTGTGGCCTGTTATCTCTCTTATTTGGTAGTTGGGGATATGGAATGGATGTGTGGTGACTGGAGTAAATGTTTCCACCCCTGTCCCTTTCATTCCAGGAGTGACAAGCTCAGGAACAGATTAATAGAATTGGGGGAAAAAGGAAAAGGGGTATGATTCAAGGGTGGAAGGACTTGGGAATAGGAAAGAGGGACATTGTGCCATGCACCCAAAGAGAGCTCCAGCTAGGGCGGCATTCTCACTCACCAAGGGAGAGCTGTGGAGGTTGCTCCTTCAGGCAGCTGCAGACCCTARTCAGACAGCCCCGGTATTTATTGACCAGGAAGTGGCTTCTCCTGCTCCTGGCCCATGGATTCCAGTGACGTCTTGAAAAGGAGGTGGGGTGAAGAAGTGCTTGCCACCCAACCCCTTCCAGCTGGCTCTAAGGCCACCAGACCAATGCTCCCTCATCTTCCCAGGGGACTTAAGTCATACATAAAAATCAAAATGGCTGCAGAGTGGTCAAAAGGAGAGCAAAGATCCTTTTCCAAGTCTTGAAGTTTTACTGACAGTGGTAAATTGCCACAAGGTTTCATGTTGGGAAATGAACTTGACAAAGGGAACAAATTTCTATTATTAAATACCTTGTAAGGTTTGAAAAACACCACAATGATCAGTTTTGTCTCCTGACCTGGATATTTCAATGGACTTAGAAAATTCACCACCACCCCAATTTGCACTGGACTTCACTCAATCCTATTTCTCTCCCAAAGCTGCATGGTCCCTTTCAGAGATACCTAACCTGTTTCCCAATTTGCAAATCTATTTKGCACTTGGATAAGACTGGCTTTGCTTTTATTTTAACCTTCTTTATGATTTCTTGGTTTACAGAAGTCACAAGATTTCTGCTCCAGCTGGTCCATGTCCTGGTCTCACCTTTCAACTTCCTAGGGTGTATCAAACTCTTGCCCTGGAGTTGTATAAAGACCTTCCTGACCCAAAAAGGAAACTGTGGCCTAGAGAGGGGCAATACATTGGGATTCCCTGACCCAGCTCGGGGMTCTGCCCAGTGAAAAAGAGGGGAATAGAGTGGGGTGCTCGGCAACCTAACTGGAGATCTGGGGGAGGCTGTGACCACTCTCCCAGAGAGCTTGTTTACTCACCTATAAAATGGTCTGAATGGATGTGTTCACATTCATACACCTGGCACCAAGGCTGGGTCACTCCAGTTATAGGTGGGTTTTTTTGCTGGGGTATTACCTACCCCTGCTTGTCGCCCACTTAAACATGCCCATGGTTGGGGACCTGAAGTCTCCTTTAAGCTATCAACTGGGGGTAATTTTGTCTCCCAAGGTTCAAACCCCTTTTCATCCTGTGCTTATCCCAAGACCATTTGTGAATTGGACATAGCTAGCCTGCGATCCTGGAAACCAGCCTTTGCCTCCAAGCCTGTGTCAGTGGATCAGCCTTCCACTGCTAACCACTGGCCTCAAGGGGTCAGAGCTCTATTTACAGAGTTAATAGCCAATCTCCACATCTGAAATCAACAGCAAATGCCAGTGCCAGGGTCAGGCTTGGCAGCGTGGTGACCAGAATCATTGGGCGAGAAGATGCGTCATATCCTGTGATAAGGATGGGGAAGGGTCACAACAGACATGAGGGGGCAGCCCTGGCACCTGGGCTTCAGGATGGGCCCAGATGTGACTTTCCAAATTGYCTTATTAGCAGAGACCTGAAATGAATCTGGGGATTGTATGTTCAGTTAAACTGTATTGGGAAATACAGAGACTTAGCTAGGTTATTCTTAGGAAAATATTTGCTTTATGCTTTAGTGAAAATAACTCTTTGAATTCGATCAACTAGCCTTGTTGTCTGGTTGGGTTTCAGAATGTTCCAAAGGCCCCAATGGTGTATGCATGTACAAATGTGTGACAACAAAACCCACCACTATGTACAACTATAATGCACCAATAAATAAAAAGTATGGAAAAGAAATACAAAACAGTCCCTGGTGGTACYAGGTGTGTTGATGTACACCCTGTAATCCCAGCAACTTTTGAGGCTGAGGCAGGAGGATCATGAGTTTCAGGCCAGTCTCAGTAACAGCAAGGCCCTGTCTCCAAAATTGAAACCAAACAAAAAAGTCATAAAATTCCTGGTAGTTTGCCACCCTTCCTGGGGGGGGGGGGCTGTGGGGATCCAACCCAGGACCCTTGCACATGCTAGGCAAATGCTCTATGACTGAGATATATCCCTATGCCCTTGGTGTTTATTTTAAAAGAGGAAAGAGAGGCTGGGGTTATGGCTCAGCGGTAGAGCGCTCGCCTAGCACGTGCAAGGCACTGGCTTCAATACTCAGCACCACATAACAATAAATAAAAAAAAGATATTGTGTCCAACTACAACTAAAAAAATATTTAAAAAAATAAAAGAGGAAAGGGGTGACTTTTTACATTTTTGTGGTTTTTTTTTTTGGGGGGGGGTGTTGGGATTAAACCCAGGGCCTCATAAACGCTGCATGCTAGGTAAGAGATATACCTATGAATGAATTAACTCCCTTTTTCTGTAACCCCACCCCCAACACACACCAAAAATTCCAAACCAGAACTAAGCTTTTTTAAGGCAAGGTCTGGTCCCTTTCTTTCTGGCCACATGCTTAGCTTTTCAGGACTGTTTCATGTCCCTTCCAGACCACCAACCCTGGAATTCATCCTTGTATCCCTTTTGGCAGAAGAGGAAAGCCACTTATTTACTACTGAGTTCCAACTACGCCTGGTTCTGAGGGTATCAAATCACTCACTGCAGCTAGCAGTCAGTTGGGAAAGCAGAGGGTGAGAGCAGAATGTTTAGGTGTTGTGGGAGACACGCACAAACCTTGGGTAGTGGCCCAGGGCCAAGAATAAAGATGCATTAGCTAGCCAGGTGCAGTGGTGTATGCCTGTAATCTAGTAGACATGGGAGACTGAGGCAGGAGGATCACAAGTTCAAAGCTGGCTTCAGCAACTTAGTGAGAACTTGTCTCAAAAATTAAAAATAAAAAGGCTGGGGATATAGGTTAAGTATCCCTACCCCAAAATTAAAAACATATGCTGTTTGTAAATGTTATGGTTTGGATGTGAGGTGTTCCCCAAAAGTTCAYGTGAGACAATGCAAGAAGGTTCAGAGGAAAAATGATTGGGTTGTCAAGAGTCTTAACCAAATCAGTAAATTAATCCTCTGATAGGGATTAACTAAGTAGTAACTGAAGTGGTAGGGTATGGCTGGAGTAGGTGGGAATGTATATATTTGTATCTGGCAAGTGGAGACACCYTCTGCTTCCTGATGATGTGAGCTGCTTCCCTCTGCCACACTCTTCCACCATGATGTTCTGCCTCAGTTGGAAGGGTGGGTCTGCTTACCATCCCCAAGGAATGGAGCTGGCCTTCTGCRGACTAAGACCTCTGAAACCATGAGCCCTTAAACTTTTCCTCTCCTAAAATTGTTCTGGTCAGGCCCTTTAGTCACAGTAGCAAAAAAGCTGACTAAAACAACAGAGTTGTGGACTCAGAATGACATTCTGGGGTGATCTAGCAAAGGGACAAAATGGAAAAGGGCCAACAAAGGAACTGCTGGTGATCTGTGGGTTCTAGCATGGCAGGGTGGAGACTGAGTGGAACCCGAAGGACTGGGGGAAGCCTGGGGGTGGGGGTGGGGCCAGCGACAGGTACCTCTGGACCACTCTGGGGAAAGGAGGCAAGTGGAGGAGAACTGAGGGTCCACACACACAGTTCAGGACCTCTAAGCTCTAAGGAAAGAGACTGGAAGCAGTTAATGAGGTCCAAAAAGAATCACTAGTACCAGCAGGGAGCTGGTGGACAAGGGGAAAGGGACCCCTGGGGTTTAGCACCTAGGCTGCCCTGGCAAGAACCAGTGAGAGTGGGGGTGAAGTGAGGAAGAGGAAGTAGTCAGAGGAGAGACCTTCTTACAAGCAAACAGGGACTTATGACAGCATTGGGGGGGGGGGGACTTAGGTCAGGGGAAATAACTTTTTCCCCCTTTTTCTTCAATGAAAGAGACTTGAGTATCTGGGGGTGGTGGTGAAAGAAAATGAAGCCCAGAAGGGAGCCGACTCAATATAAGTGAGGTCTCTAATGAGAGTGGCAGGACCCAGAATTTGGGGTGCACAGTGGGCGCTGGCTGTAACTCTTCCCTGCAGGGAAATAAACTTACCCACCCTAATTCCCTGGGGCCACAGCTGATTGGATGTGGGGTACTGGATGAAGCAGTCACCCCAGCCCTTCTCACACATTATGCTGTGAATGCCCAGGGCATTGTTCTTTGAACTTACACTAGTTCCTGTTGGGTTCATGTCTCTTGCACTCCGAGTAAGAAAAGAGTTAAGGGGGAGGGATGAAGGGATAAGGGTTAGTTCTATGGAAAGGAAGCAAAGAGATGAGGTAATTCCTGCTGGAAGATAATTGATTAGTAATCAGGTGAAATTTAAAATATTGGCCCAGCCACTGACCAAGTCAGCACAGACTCTAGCAGAAACCTAAGAAACCTGGTCAGGCCACATTGATGTGCTCTGCCCAAAGCCAGCCTTGCTAATAGGAGATGAGCCACTTGCTGGGAGTGGAAAGGCAACATAGAGATAGAGCTTCACTTGCATGTTCACTGATGGCTTGCTGACCCCACCACCATACTCCTATATCTGCTGGACTTAGTCACACAGAGGGTTCAAAGAGTAGCTTGCAAGGGCCAGGGTCTTCTCTTCAAACCCAGCATCCCTCATTGGAGATCCCTCAGATTCTTTGTTTACCACGCTTCTTTGGAAACTACTGAGTTTTGAGTCAACTGCCTCTTGTAGTTCCTACAGAAGGACTGAATGCCTCTAATGACTTGCACTCACCTCTTGAAGCTTCCAGAAGTAGTCTGTAGTAGTGTCCCTGCCTCCTGTAGGCCTCTGGACTTCCTTTCTCTCATACCACTTCCTTCACACAAACAWCATGAATATGTGGTGTACACTGAGTGCCCTCTTGAAGCCCGAGTTACAGTCTCATCTGTAATGCAGCTCCACTTGATCTTTTTTCCTCTAAATTCAACTCAATTTCCAGCATCCCTTGCTTAGATCCAGTTCAAGCTGCATTGCTTCAGCAAGCCATGGAACACTGACCTGAATGTGCTTCCATGGGCCAGGCTGGAGTGTTACCTCTCACTCTTGAAGCCTTTGAGCCCAGAGCCTGCCACAACTCTTCAAGGAAGGCCAGAGGCTACAGGCTCCCTCAGCCCTGCCCTGCCAGCCTGGGCAATCAGTTTATCTTCTGCTCCCATCATGAGCTGCTCCTGAGGCTAGGAGGAGTGGTAAGCAGACCCACCCTTCCAACTGTATCCCAACTAAAGGTCACACTTCTCAGTTCTCCTTGTAATTAGGTACAGCCATAGGATTATGTTTTAAGCTACTGGGCTATGAGAAACCAAAAATGCAACTTTTGAGCTGGGAGCGGTGGTGAATGCTTGCAATCCCAGATACTGGGAGGCTGAGGCAGGAGGACTTCAAGTTTGGGACCAGTTTCAAACTTAGTGTCTCAAATAAGATAGTGAGAACCTACCTCAAAACGAAAAATAAAAAGGGCTGGAGATGCAGCTCAGTGGTAGAGCATCACTGACTGGGTTCAATTCTACCACCACCAAAAAAGCAACAACTTTTGCTAAAAATGAAATTGTTTTGTGTTTACACTACATACTTTTCCCCCTTGCCTGATTCAGATGCAGATGTGGAAGTGATTCAACTCCTGCCACAGGAATGAAAATTATATTTTGAGGACCATGAATCTGGAAGGTAGAAGGATACTGGGTCTCTGGGTAGGGCAGACTGTTATATAAGGAATACATAAACATTTATATTATTTAAGATACAAAACTTGACATGTTAAACACATCAGATTTGAGACCAGGTTGAAATCTAAGAATCCCATCATCTTGGCTTCTGGATCTGAGACTTTTCCACATTAAAGTCCTGGAAATGAGGACATAAATGAAAGGATGTGGAAGCCATCTGACACAATCAATGTGAACACAAAGACTTTTCTGGATAGTGACACAATCTAAATGGCTTTGAAGCAAAGCAGCAGAGCTGGAGAGGTCAGAGACCAACCTCAGGTCTAAGGCTGAGCCAGTTCCTCTTCTCCTGGTGGCCCTACCCTTTGCCATCTTCTCCAGGGTGTGAGGCTGGCTGAGACCACTAAACCAAAGTTGTGCTGGGAAAGAAAGGAGGGTCTTGGAGATCACATCAGAGATGGAGGAGCTTGAATGATAGAAATGGAGAGCTGGGAAACTGAGAGACAGCAGCAATATAGTAGGGCCAGGAGCAGCCTAGCCCTGTCTGGTTGCCCCACCCCAGACAAAGGGAGAGACATTTCCTCAGGGAGTCAAAGCTTTTATTACCTGATAATCCCTAGTGTGGTGCCAGAGATACCGCCCTGGTCCCATTACTCCCCCCAGGGGGCTGCTGGGATGTGAAGGTGTGTTTGAAGGAGGTGAGCTAGAGAGACAGGAATATTTACAGTGTAGGGAGGGGAATGGGGACTTACATGGGGATCCTGGGACAACCATTTCCTCAAGAATTCTGAGAACTTTGTGCTTTTTTCTTAGCTGGTGCCAAGCTACCTGGAATGGGTTTATCTTCTTTAGGAAAAGATGTTTAAACCAAAGAACAATCCAGCCCAATTTCCAGGCTGAGGATTACACGATATCAATCAAACATCACACTATTTAATTCCCCAATAAAACATTGGAAAAAGGACTATCAGTGCTAACACATTTACATATAAAATCTCCACCTAATAGGTAATAGAAGCTATGTACCAATTTCTAAAACAGTTATAAGATATATACACAATTTTGGGTATATTAACAAAACAGAATATTACAAAATATTAAAGGCAATTCTCCTGTCCATGGGGCCTCGTCGCCTGTTACTTGAAGTTGGCATAATCTGAGAATGCATCAATGTATTCCTGCACCACCTTGTAGCAGAACTCATACTGCTCCTGGAGAATGAAAGTGGGAAGAATGCCAAGGTTATTGAAGAGTATGTGGAACCACAGTTCCTAACAGAGCTGTTTTTAGAATGGAAATTGGAGAGGAAATGAATGTTTGTGGACTTCCACATGCACCTCGACCTGTCTGCCCAAGTTCTGATAGCTCTGCCCTCTGGATTAGCACAGTGGATGTTCTGCAAATAGAGCTGACTGGACTGGCAAGGACAAATATGAGTATGCTGGGCTGGGAAATGGTGCACCTTCACCATGGCTGCCAGACTGGCATGTGCTCTGCTCTTAAAGTCTCATTTCCTGGTAAACCACCTAAAATTCACTTTTCTTTTCCCCTCAAACATTTCTCACTCCAGAAGTTTCAGGAAAACATTTGTGRATGTCCACACTGTTAAAAGTCAGATTTCTTAATAGGGAGCCTGAACAGAACAAAGGTAAGTAGTCCTGTTCCCCGACCTCCAACCCAGGGAGAAGCATAAACAAGCCCTGTAGGGCACCCAAGTACCCCTTGTCTAACGTGTCACATTCCCACTGGTGATAGAGGGCATATTCCCACTGCAATCCTGCCTCTCAAGGCACTTGCGGGTTTGGACACCTTGGGGTAGGATGGGACTCCTGAGTGGGACTCTGAAGGCCTTCTCCCTGATGGGGAAGGATTGCAGATGGTGGTGGCACAAAGACATGAGCAGCATACCAGTGTCTGGACCATATGTGGCCTCTGCAGCCGCAGGCTCTTGACAGTCTGGAAGACATCCAAAATCCCCTCTGCTTTCACTCGTTCCAGGACTGTGCTCAGGGCACAGAAAGTCCCTGTCCGTCCTGCCCCAGCGCTGAAACAGAGCAGACAGACTTACCATGCCTGCTAAAGCTCTCCAAGCAGAGTGGGTGAGTATGAGTGACAAGGAGCAGACTGAAGCTGAGTCTGGTGCCTGGGAAGGTGCATGATCCATGGAGCTACCACAGGAGGGTATGAGTGAGGCAGGAGGCCCGAGCTCACCTCTGCCAGCCTAGAGGAACTCAGCATACCTCTGGGGAGGCAGTGCACCCCTGCTGCCTCTCCTTCATGGCACAGGTTACTCCTACTGAGGGCTCACCTGTGGGACCATGCTAACAACCCTCATCTACACTCCACAAGTACTAGCTCTTGACGTTCACCTACCAACATGCTCAGGTTGACCTGACCTTACCACTGGATCAGGTTAGAGTTCTATTCCTCTCTTCCTTTTCCCTGACAAACCATTTGCAATGGTATGTACCTGCTGGTTCTTTCCTGTGTCTCTTATCTTCTTTGTAAATCCAAGGAATTCAGACTCTGACCTTGACACTATCTACCCCGTTCAATGTCATCAGCCGATTCTCTCACTGGACATTGAGTACCTGCTCTGTGGCAAGGACTGCGGGCTTAGCAATCTTTCCAGAGAAAAAGACATGCAGTCAGGGAAGGAGAAAGAGGAGCAGAGTTCAGGTAGGGTGCCTCAGGAAGGCTCTCTAAACGAGTGCTGTRTGAGCAGACATACCAAGAAGGTGAGGGTGAAGTTCTATGGATATCTGGGAAAGAGTCTCTTAGGACAAAGGCAGGAGTGTGCCAAGGGTGCTGAATCTGATGTAGGAAGGAAGGAGAGTGGTGAGGGTGAGGTCAGAGCCCTGGGAGAATGCCACCCTAAGTTGCATCCCGCTTCCTGGCCTGACAGGAAGCCCTCACATCATGTTGGGCCCTTGTTGTTGGGATTCTAAATAAAGGCGAGATTTATAGTTGTTTATATATATGTTTGGTAGTGATGCGCATAGAACCCAGGGCCTTGTGCATGTTGGCAAGCACTCTACCTCTGGGCTATATCCCCAGACCATGACTTACATTTGAAAGGCTCCTGAGGCASGGCRAGGGGCAAAAATAAATAAAATAAAATAAAATAAAAGGCTCTCTTAGGCTGCTGTGTTGAGAACAGATTCCAGGTGAAGGTGACAGCAGAGAGACCAGCCAGGAAGGAGGTTGGTACAATTACTGCAGAGGGAAATTGGCTTGGACAGAGAGGACCCTGGAGGAGGCAGGGAAAAATACTTGGATTGTTAGATTATATGCAGGTAGAACACAATTTGATGATGGATTAGATATGATATCTGAGAAAGAGCAGAGAACAGGTTAGTTCCAAGGCTTCTCTCTGGGAAATGGCAAGCTATTTACTGATGTGGAACAGYAGGCCTTGACAGAAACACCAGCAGTTCTCACTTGAACCCTAAGCTAAAGATGCCCATTAGATATCCTTGTGGAAATGACAAGTAGATAATTGGATAGATAAACTTGGTGTTTGGGGGATCACCTAGAGAACTGGTAATAAAGACTTGGGAATTGCTGTTAAAGCCAGGAGACTGAGTGAACTCTCCTTGGGGTGTTGTCTGTTGATACAGAAGAGGTTCAAGAACTGGGCCTTGGACCACAAATGGGGAGGAATCAACCCAGGAAACAGAAGAAGAGCACATGAGGATGAAAACCATAACAGAAGCCACTTGGGGAGTGTGCTACAGAGAGATCAGTGATCAACTGTGTCCAATACTGATAAAAAAAAGTCAAGTATGATGAGACTGAGAATGACCACTGGCTTCAGCAATCTGGAGGCCACAGGTAGTTCCAGTGGTGCAGTTGAAATGGAGTAAGTGTGTGAGTGGGTGGTGTGACTGGAATGGGCTTGACAGGATAGGAGAATAAAGAAAAGGAACTGGAAAGCTAGTATGGACAAATCTGTTGAGAAACTTTATTATTAAGGAAACTCAAGGTAAACATTTCTTTTTCCTAAAATGCAATCTCAAATAACATGCTCCATGTAAAATTCACCTTTTCTCCCCAAACAAGTCTAAACAAGTCTCCTTATCATCTTTTTTCAGTTGCTTACATCAACTGCTACCAGTAACCTAGGCTCAAACCTGAGAAGCACCCTTGACTCTTCTGCTTTTTCGCTGAGCGGTCTTAGTCTTTTCATTTTTCCTTGACTGTTTTCAGAACATTTGCCATTTTCTTTCCCTGTGTTTAAGGAGGCCAGGCCCTCATCCTCATGTTGCCCAACTGGTCTCTCTATTGCTCTCCCATCACGTCCCACATGTTCCCTTGCATAATACCTCACATTGTTCATGTTGTTAAGTTCCCTAGTATTTAATGTGCCAAGTTCAAACTCCAAGACACTCTCTGAGCACTCAGCTCTGTTATGTCTGTCAAACTTGATTGTCACAAGTGTGTAGAGAATCAGATGTGACTGCGTTACTATTACTGTCCTTGATGGAGTCTGCCTGCAAACGGGATATTCTGTCAAGGTATAGATAGGTAACAGCGGACATGCTTAAAAACGAGGTGTCTGCTGTCCTTGGGAGGGCCTACTCACAAACGAGAGCCTCCTTCAAGGTTTAGATAAGGTAACAGAGGACACGCTTGAAAACGAGGTGTCTGCTGTCCTTGGGAGGACTTGCCTGCAAACGGAATGTTCTGCCAAGTGGGCTAAGAGGGCGCTGAGAAAAATTTTATTATCTGTTCTTAACAAGAGCAGAGCTCGGCATGCTCCAGGCCGAGAGTAGATTAGCCATGAGAAGCGGGTCACTTCTGATTAGAAAGTAAAACTTCTTTATGCTATGTTTAATTAGCTGAAAGACCTGATTTATTGCTGTTGGAAGGCTGCCTTCTTTGTTCACAATACTATAAAAAGATTGCTTGTATACAATAAAGGACTTTTTTTCTGCTGTTGCTTTGCTTGCTCTGCTTCTTCTTTCTTTCCCATGCTGACCTGCACATGAATTACTGCAACACAAGTGCTCACCAACAACCTGCTCCTGCACAGCTTTCCTCACCATTTGACACATGCTCACCACTGCACCCATCCCTCTGCCACCCATCTGAGAGCTGGGGCCAACGGTACCTGCAGTGCACAGTGATGGGGTGGTTCCCGGACTGCTGCTGCTGCTTCTGCACAGCTGCAATGATGCTGATCATGCCCTTCCCGTCACTGGGGATGCCCACTTCAGGCCAGCCATGGAAGTGGAACTGTCGGATTTGCCGGCTCTTGTTCTCCTTTGGAGAAAAGAGGGTCAGGAAGGCAGGGGCAGCTCTGCTTTCCCTGAGGGAGGAGCCCCATCTATCGCACATCTTACCCTGGTGTTGGTAACCAGGAGGTCTCGGACGGTGTAGCTCTCACATTCTTCCTCCTTCTTCAGCTCCACTGTTATGTCTCCATAGGATACAAGGCCATCAGATGGCCAGTACTGGGCACACTTCTCCTGGCGAGACAAATAAGAGAGGCCAGGGGCTAGTACTAAGTGTGGCAAAGGCAGCATTGCTTGTGAGCAGCCTGACCTCTCACTTTTTTTTTTTTTTGGTACTAGGGGTTGAACTCAGGGGCACTCAACTACTGAGCCACATCCCCAGTCCTATTTTGTATTTTACTTAGAGACAGGGTCTCACTGAATTACTTAGCACCTCACTATTACTGAGGTGGCTTTGAACTCGTGATTCTCCTGCCTCAACCTCCCTAGCCACTGRGATTACAGGCATTCTACAAGAAATAATTAGTTAACCATTTAGTGTCACTTGTTGACAATCCAGTTTACAATATGACAGAGTCTATGAAGAACTCTGTTGCTCAGTGCTATTCAGCACTCAAATGGCTGTGGGGAGGATGAAGAGGGATGGATGTTTTTGTTCCACCCTTACTCCATGATTCCATATTTTATAGCTGCTTACATGTGCCACCTTGTTAATCCAGAAAAGTGGAACCCATTTACACCCTCACCCAGCCATGCTGCTTCACCATAGCCCAGTCCACAGTATCCTTTTATTCTTCTGATCTCGATCTCCTTAATCTGCAATGGTACTTTAAGGTTGCTAGTTCTAGCACTTCTGTCCTTGCAGGAGATGGTTTACTGTCTTTGCTTGCACCTAACTCAATTCCTTCTAAAGCTCCTTGCGTACAGGAGAAAGGATCTGTCTCAATTCATCTTTGCWTCTTGAGCACCCTGACCCAGGCCTGGCATTCTATAGGCTCTCAGTAAGTACCTGGTAAAYGAATGTGTTTAATGTCTGCAGAATAAGTCAAGGCATAAATATGTAAGTAAAACGTGGTCCATTTCTTTAGAGCATTGTGTGTGTGTTTGGGGGGGGGGCCGGATCTGAGATTTTTTAGTTTTTTTTTTTTTAATCGTACTAGAGATTTAACCCAGGGCTGCTCTACCTCTGAACTACATTATCCAACTGGTCTCTCTGCTGTTGGTCTCCCTTGCTGCTCTCCTGATTCCCATCACGTCCTGCATGCTCACCTGYCCAATACCTCATATTGTTCACGTGGTTAAGTTCCCCAACATTTAATGTGCCAAGTTCAAATCAGTCCTGTTTTTTATTTTATTTGAGACAAAGTCTCACTAAGTTGCTGAGGCTGGCCTCCTGCCTTAGCTTCCCAAGTTGCTAGGATAACAGGCATGCACCACCACAACTAGAACAGCTGAAACTTAAAAATTCTCAGCCATACATGTTCATTAAGATTTGAAAACATTAAGTACAAAAGAAAAATCATTGATAGTCTCACAGTCCAAATAAAATTACTATTAAAATCCAATTTATTAGGCTGGGGCTATAGCTCAGTGGTAGAGCACTTGCCTTGCATGTGCACGTGTGAGACACTGGGTTCCATTCTCAGCACCACATAAAAATAAAGATTTATTTATCTTTATTTATTCTTCATCTACAACTAATAAAATATTTTTTTAAAATCCAACTTATTTATGTGAGTCAAGGCAGACCTTGAACTCCTGGCTCAAGTGTTCTTTCAGCCTCAGCTTCAGTTTCCTGAAAAGCTCAGACTCCAGGAGTGTCACCTCATCCAGATTAAAAACCCATTTTACTGACTTTTATTGCTTTTCCTAAGTGTGATCATTCAGTAACTCCTTTATAAATGACACTGAATTCATTCTAACAGACAGGTTATTAAAGTACTGGAGCAAGGAAATGCCGTAGACCAGTGCTTTTCCACCTGTGCTCTCCAGGAATCTTAAGGATCCCTGAAGATGGGGTGCTGAACCACTCTTCAACCATAACTGTTTAAAAAAATCCTAACTAAGGTGCACCTCAACTAGTTATTAATCACCGGTCTCCAGGGCACTGGCAGGTAGAATGATTTTGCTGTCACAGTTCCCTTGAAACAATACCGCCTTCACACAATTTCTCAACCAGGACTGAAGACGGACTTCAAAGTCATTAGAAACACTAGGTTCCAGATGGGAGTGAGGTCAGCAGATTGAGATAGAGGGAAGAGAGCAGCAAGACCATATTTTACAAGAAAAAGAAATACTATGGGCCCTGCAACCAACAGTTTTTAGTACTTTAGATCTTCTTAGGTATGCATAGCAGAGAAAAAGGGCAGAAGGTGGGGAGGCCCCGGGCAGGCATAGCTGGGAATTATAGGAGAGAAGCCCTTCCTAAAGCTGGAGACAGGGGGCTTATCAACAGAGACAATAATGGGAACCCTTCCTTGGTTGGCTAATGGGGGCCGTCAGTCACTTGAGGTGGTTCTGACTGACCTCAGGGGGCAGAGTTGTACAGTGAGTTTCAAGGGGACACAGCTATTAGAGGGTTWCAGGGAGGCAGGTAAGGTGGGCTGAAAGAAAACAAATCTGGTAAATATGTGATTAGGATTTAAGGGATGACATGGAGTAAAGAAAAGCTACATAAGACTATAGGACAGATGATGGTAGGGAATTATCTTACTTACTCTGGTGAAGGGGACAGGATTCATTTAATTTAGCCCTCCACATGGGCTCAACAACAAAATTCAACAACAAAACCAAAGGAGCAGGTTATACTCAAAAACAAAGCCAAAGGCTGGGTATGATGGCATGTGCCTATAGTCCCAGCTACTATGGAGGCTGAGATAGGGGGATCACCTGAGCCCAAGGCAACTTGTTGAGTCCCCATCTCAAACCAAGTCAAATCATCTAAGAGGGAAAAGGTGGGAAACAGAGGGAAATAATCCCCAGAGCCCCCCAGCCCCCCCCATCCCCCCCCCCCCCCCCCCCCCCCCCCCCCCCCCCCCCCCCCCCCCCCCCCTCTCTCTCTCTCTCTCTCTCCCTCTCTCTCTCTCTCTCGTCTGTGGAAGGGCGGCAGTGACAGCTGTCTGGCATTAGTTCACAGGCTGTGGTAAGTTGATGGAAGGCACATAGCAGTTTCAATCAGATACCTATTATCCTCTGGGCTAAAGGACCCCTTCCTTAGGAGGCAGGATGTTGGTTTAAAGAATCCAGAAAAAACTGTAGCAGCACTGGCTATCCTAACTGTATCCCAGGCTAAAAATGCCAAGATTCTGCTGGGATGGAAAAGTGAGACAAGGACAATGGGAAATGCATGGCCATGAGGAATATGGGAGACCCGTCTCAAGGACAGAGGCTGGGACCCAGCATATAAACCATGTCCTACTTAGCCCATTGAGGGTAGAGGGGACAGGAGAAAATGAAAACTAGGGGATTTAAAATAAGCAAGTGAAACTAAAAGGAAGGGCCCAATTTAAGTGTGGGGACTAAATAACCAAAAAAAAGTTCCTAAATTTCATATGCATAGGTAGATTTTTTTTCCTCAAGGTCTCTAAAAGCCCAAAGATGATTTTAAGATAAAGTGTAACATGATTACATTTGTATTTTTCAAAAGGGTGCTGTGGAGATTGTGGAAATCAAAGAAAGAAATATTCCTGGCTGCCATGTGAAGAACCGACTCAATGGGACTGGAAGCAGGAAGACAGGTTGCCAGGAAACTCGAGGTAGATCTAGTGCTGGCATGGTTTGTGAGAGGTGTAACCACTGCTCCATGTGCATGTCCCTTAGTAGGTTAGAGATGGTGGTATATTGCACGAGTGGCATTGTTAAGCTAGAGTGAAGTGGATATGCTCAGCAGGTATCAGGACTCACTGATAAACTGCATGTGGTGGTGAGGAAAAGAGAGTAAGGAAGGGAAATCCTAGACTTGTAGCAGGAGCAGTGGGGTGGAAGATGGTCCTGTTTATTGAGATAGTTCAGAGTGGGGTGAATTAGCATGGAGTGTGGGGAGAAAAATCAAGTTTCATTTGGGCCATATGGAGCCTTAGATTCTTTTTTGGAGAGGTACTGGGGATTGAACTCAGAGGCACTCAACCACTGAGCCACATCCCTAGTCCATTTTTTTTTTTTTTTTTTTTTTTAAAGAGACAGGGTCTCACAGTTGCTTAGTGCCTTGCTTTTTGCTGAGGCTGGCTTTGAACTCGCAATCCTCCTGCCTCTGCTTCCTGAGCAGTTGGGATTACAGGCATGCACCACTGGCCTGAGATTCTTAATAATCAACCACATGAAGATATCAGGTAGGTACTGGATACATTAGTACACAATGGGAAATGCATGGCCATGAGGAATATGGGTGATCCCAGAAGGGGAGTAGGTAACTGTACTRGGGGCAAAGATTTAAGGCTTTGGTGTATGGATTGTATTTAAGACCACAGGCTTGGCTGAAATCCTCAAGGACAGCATGTCATAAGCGAATGGGCTAATAAGGCCTGAGTATAGAATCCTCCAGAGAGTGTTTAGAGGTCATGCAGAGGAGAAAGAGGTCACAAAATAAATGACAAAGGAGMTAGCAAGGCTAGTGACAGGGGTGAGATTGTGGAAATCAAAGAAAGAAATATTCCAAGAAAGAGGGAAGCACTGACTATTTCGAATGTTGGTATAAGGACAACAACAAGAACAAACAAAAGGAAAAATAAAAAAAAGAGAGAAATGATCTTTGGATTTGTCACCGTGATCTTAACTAAAGCAGTCCCACTGCAGTCAAGAATGAAAGGAACAGAGTGAGGTGAGAACTTAAAGGGGAAAGCAGACGTTTTAAAGGAACTTGTCTAGAAAGAAGTACATAAAAATAGTATCTAGATGGAAGGGGATGTGGGATTAGGGGAGATAATTTTGTTTTTTAAAGATAGGAAATGTAATAGTGTGGGCTGCTAAGTAGAGAGGGGAGCTGTTGATGGAGACAAGAGTAGCAAGGATCTTCCAGTGGCAAGATCCTTGAGGGAGGTGGGAATGGGACCAAGAGCACAGTGGATGGCTACATCGAGCTGTAGGATCCCTTTCCCCAGGATGGCAGGTAAGAGAACTGTTACAGATGTGAATGGGCTGGCTGCTTGAGGAAGGTATTCTTGTCCAATTTCTTGAAAAATGAGGCCAAGCCATAGCTAAGATATATGGCGGGATAGGCAAGGGGATTCTGCAGATCTGAGGGAGTGTAGAAGGAACAGGGGGGCTGGGGTTGTGGCCCAGTGGTAGTGTACTTGCCTGTATTGTGAGGCACTGAGTTTGACTCTCAGCACTGAATATAAATAAATAAAATAAAGGTTTATCAACAACTTAAAAAAAAAAGAAAGAAAGAAAAAAGAAGRACCAGCAATAGAATTGCTAGGTAGTGCTTTACCCACATTAGATTTGTGGTTATGAATTCAATGGGAGAACAGTCAGCAGAGTTTTGTTTTTTTTTTCCAGTGATGTTTGCTATCATATGTAGATATGTAACTGGATTTAACAGAGTAGAGGCCTTGCCATGAAAGAAAGTAAGAAAGTATGAGGCAATAATGGGTGTTAGAAAGGGAAGGATAATAATGACAAGCCACACAAACTTTACAAACAGAACACACAGGAAGGTGAAAATATGATCCATGACTGACATTGAGAAAGTGGAGCAGTCAATGGCTCTAAGATTTGGTGAAGATAAACAATTACTGGAATAGAAGTAAGAAGTACCATGTTGTATTGGAGGTGATAAACAGGGTATAGAATGTCCTATCAATATTCTAAAGGCATGGGGATGAAAAGATCATGGTTTGACCATGGGAACTGGTAGCTGAGGAAGCCAAGAAACAGAAAGACTAAGGGTAGATGGATCATCCTCATGGATACTGATGCCTCCAAAACCAGAGATAGAAAACCAGGCACAGAGACACATGCCTATAGTCCCAGCTGAGCTGAGGCAAGAAGATCACTTGAGCCCAGGAATTCAAGATCAGTCTGGGCAACACAGTAAGATCCCACTACAAATCAACCAACACCCCCTCACCAAAACAAACAAACACCAAATTGACAAAAGAACAGAAACAGGAATAAAGGCCCCAAAGGGGTGGTAAACCAGATGAAGAAGTCATTAAGTAGGAGAAGAGAGCTTGGAGCTGAGGTTTAATCTCAGATTTAATTTTCAGGTTATGGACTCTATACAGTGGCATCCTGATGAAGCCTAAGCTCAGCTTTTCTGTCTTTTCTCCTGTGGTCTTTGTTCACCCTCCTTGCCTTAGACAGCACTAAGTCTCTTTATGGTACAAGGCTGACAACAGTAGTAGGGACTCAACTTTGTGGGCATCGTGATCTACTGATGCTTTAAATAAGCAGAATGAGAGTCAGGTTGGGCTGGCACAGTGTGGGAGCTGGTAGCACTGCCCTGCTCACAAGGATGCCTGTTCCAAGCTGTGGCCACTGAAGGAACCCATGCCTTCCCAAGCATCTTGATGCATCCACTTGGTTAAAGTGGAAAAGAATGAGAAAACTCAAAGAGAAATTTTAATTCCTTTGAGATTTTTATTTATATGGTAGAAAATTTATATTTGGGGATCAGACTTTTATAATACGTAAGGAGTGGTGGTTTCACTTTGTATAAACATACACACCCTTCACTATGTTATTTAGGCTTACTGTGTTTATTTCTGGGAGCTATACCTGACATGAACGAGAGATGAAACAATAAGTGAAATTTTATCTTGGAGGCCAGTGAGGCCTTATGAAAAATGTGACTAATGTCCTGTTCTGATTCACTAAGAAGTTTCTGAGAGCAAAAGCTACTGGCTATTTTGATGGCCCTGGGAAGGCAGAGGCTAAGGCACAGTGGCAGAAGGAAAGGAGGTCCACCCAATTGATAACAGGCTTGACCAATGGATTGGAGGACTAGGTGTGCATGGCTCTTCCCCTCACTGTTACCCAAGAGAAATGTTTCCTGCCCCTCTACCCTAAACTCTCATTAAGCTCTCTTCAAGACTGAAAGAGTCTGAGGGGTAGGGATGTAGCTCAGTGGCACAGTGTTTGCTCAGCATGTGCCAAGCTGTGGGTTCATCCCCAGTACCAAGTAAGTTTGAAAAGAAGCCTGATAATCAGACTAGACAGGGTCAGAGATATTCACTGAGCTACATTTCATTATAGGGCAGTGGACCAAGAGATGTCTCTGAGCTTCCTATTCTAGCTCTTCTGCCTATTCTTTGGGCCTTCCCATCATTTACCTGCAGATGGAATGGGGAAAAACATGTAAAGCTCTGGGTCTAATTCACATATCCCCTTGTGGCTATCAGAGGGCTAGCAGACCTGCACTAGCCCCTGATAACACAGCCACTTCTGTCCCAGTTGGCCTTTGTTACTCAGTGCATGTTTTCTTGAGTGCAAGGCCAAGGACTTAACCAAACCTCCCATTTCATCAATCTTGTTACTAATAATAGACAAAAACCTACGAAGGATGCCTGTCAATTTGGTACATAATACAAGCCTGGGAAGACTAGCTACTGAGTGAAATGACTGAACAAAAAACAAAAACCCACAAACCACAAACCTGACATAATGAAATGTTGGGGTAAGAAAATGTGTGAAGCCTGTATCAAAGTTAAATAAACTGCACAAGAACAGAATGGGAACTAACTGCTTGGAACCAATGTAAAACAAACTCAGTGACTCCTGAGTGGGTGCTGTGCTTAACTCTTTTCCTATTGGGCCCTCCTCACCTCTCCACCCTCTCTGACCAGCTCAGCAGAGTTCAAGCCATCAACAAAACTTCCATAGTTCCCCTCTGCTTCTGGCTTGCCCATTTCTCCTCACTGTTCTCCTGGTGTTACCAAGGGATTAAAAACAGAACAAACAAAAACAAAAACAAACAAAAAAACACACCATAAACTGGATTTGTCAAAAACTCTTAAAGTGCTTTAAAAAGTCTCAACTCTTCATTATAGCTTAGGAGAAACTTTCCTACCAAGCCTTGCTAGCTTCTCCAGGATGATTTTATTGATTCTGATCCTTACATCCTTACATCCTTCCTTGTTACATACCATCCCAGGCCTAAAGAAGCACCCAATTACTGCACTGAATAACCTCAACAGAAGAATAAGTGGGCTGGGGATGTGGCTCAAGCGGTAGCACGCTTGCCTGGCATGCACAGGATGCTGGGTTCGATCCTCAGCACCACATAAAAATAAAATAAAGATGTTGTGTCCACCGAAAACTAAAACACAAATATTAAAAAATTCTCTCTCTTAAAAAAAAAAAAAAAAAAAAAAAGAATAAGCACAGTGGAAGCACAGACTGGCTGCCAGTAATGAGAATTAGAGGGAGAATCCCTGAGATGAGAGTGCCCCCATGGAGGTGGCATGACTGAATCAGTAGTAGTGGTGAGATTTCTTCTATTCCCTGGGAGCTCTGGGGGACCTCTGAGTCCCCAGACAACACTTTTTAACTGACTTGAGGGAGTGTTTTTTTTTTTTTTTTTTTTTAAAGACTTCCTTGTTACGCCTGTGAAGGATGGCTGGTCTGGCACTGGGTCACTTTGTCCTCTGGCTTTATCCCTCTTAAATCACCTACTCAGCCAAAAAAGGACACATGTTTCTAGGGGGGAAAACTCCATTTCCTTATTAATGAAATTTAAGTTGTACATTTCTTGCTTTTGTTATTTCTCAAATTCTATTGTTTTCTTTCATTTAGCCAGAAGAGGTGACCCCTTCTTAGAGACACTCACCATGCCCTGGACTGGCTCTGTATCCCTCCTCTTACTGGTTCTGTCCTGCCTGGGGGGGTTGGGTGCAGAGAATGTGTGCAAAGGCTAGGCTGGGGGCTGTATTCTGGAGAAAAGTGAAAGGGTGGGAACTGCTTTGCTTTCCAGTCCTGGGAGAAGCTGATGATAGCTCAGACCCTAACAGACTGGATAATAAGTTTGAAAATGGCTTTGTGGACAGTATAAGTCAAAGTAAAAATTAAGAACTACCTTCTAGCCTACCCCTACCCCTATATACACACTTGTTCACACTATTTCTCTCACAGCCCAGGACCTTTTTGAACTCACCTGGCCTCTCTCCTCCAGTTCTGTTAGCATCACGATGGAACATGATTTCCACTCCCAGATCATACGCCAGAAGTCTTCAATTGTGTGGAGAAGAGGGCCCTGGCTGGCAATGTAAGAGTCCTTCTGCCGGTAGCCCTATACAGACCAGGTCAATTACAGGGAAGAGGTGGTATAATCAGGGAAGGGTGAATGGAAAAGATGGGCCTTTCTYGGAGGCAATGAGACAAGACACTAGGAAAGGATAGGAGCTGCTGGAGGCAAATCCATCCCAGACAGAGCTCCCCTGTGGCCAAAGATCAAACTCTGGGGAAAGGAAAGGGGTGCTGGAGCTAGGATGAGAAGAACAGGAATGGGAAAGGTCAGGTCAGTTTTTTTAGCCTAGATGAGTGTGCGGTAAAGTTTCACTTTAGGTATCACACTAGAGTGCACTGTTTTGCCCACCTTCTATTCTTTGGGGCTGGACAAACCTAGTAAGCTAGGTGGGTGGGAAGGTATCAGAATTCAGTAATTGCTGACTGATTCAAATAAGATCCTCCCAGGGAGRTTTGTGAGGGAAGCACTGTTAAGTCCAGGGAATTTCTATGGGGTGCTGGGAGCTCAGGCACAGCCAACACTTACATCAATGAAGGATGCATTCACATAGTCTGTGTTCTCTTCACCTCGCTTAACTGGAATGATCACTCTGTTGAATTCATCTGCAGGAAGAACAGTGGCTGGTAGCTCACCAACATGCCCAATCTCTCGCTTTCCACTGCTCCTGCCCTTGGCCCTTAGCAGATGTAATCCCAGCTGGGCAAGGGCAAGCTTGTTTCTTGTCCAGGAGAAAGAAAGGCTTTGCCTCTTTATGATATTTTATTTACAGGGGCCATTAAAGCACTGGGAGCACCAAGAGGTAATGCTCTGATTCTTGTCTCCAAACCAATCATTAATTAGTCCCTGAGAAGTAGAAAGGGTGGAAAGAATTAGGGGATAGGGCACTTACATGGAATGATCTGTAAAACCCTGTTCTTCTTCATGTTGGCTGGAAGGTTTCCAGTCCGCATCTTGTCATTCTGGATTTTGATTGATGTTAATTTCTGAATGAGGAAGGGAAGTGGAACATTATTGACCCAGTAATTAAACCTGACAAGACTGCCTGTCACCAGGCCTGCATCTCCAGGGTCCTTGTCAGCACTCCGTTCTTCCCCTAGGGCCCTGATCTCCATTTCTACATGTTTTTGTTGGAACACTGTTTCTTCTTTCTTTAAGCTCAGGAACAAGTCAAGTCAGTGTTTAGTAAATACTGCCTTCCAGGCTCTTTTTTTTTTTCTTAATATTTATTTTCTAGGTGTAGATGGACACAACACAATGCCTTTATTTTTATGTGGTGCTTTATTTATTTATTTATTTATTTTATTTCACCCATGTTAGGTGAGCGCTGTACCACTGAGAGACAACCCCTTCCAGGCTGTTGTATGAGTTCTTCTGGGATTCCTTTGGCCTAGAACTTTATGATCCTGGAGCTAGGATTCCAGGATGAAGAAGGAACTAGGCCCACCCGATGCCCACCTTGCTGTTCTACCCACACAGGTAGTCTTAGACTTCTTAGAAAAACTTATCCAAATGTGTATCCCCTCTTCCCCTCATGTTCTTCCTGATCCTTGCTACTCAAAGTGTAGCCCATACATCATCAGCATTTGTCCCCATTTTGTTAGAAATGCAGAATGTCACATGCAAAGTGTCAGGATCTAACTCAGACTTGCTGAATCAGAACCTGTATCYGTCAGGATCCCCAGCGTATACACCATAGTGTGAGAAGAACTGCTTTTAAGGAAAGGTGTCATTCTCACCTGAACCTACAAATCACTTGCTTCTGGGAGCACTTTTCATTGATGAGAGCATGACTTAGGATGCTTTTGGTGGAAAGGATTAAACTCAGGATCTCATAAATACTAAGTACATGATCTACCAGTGAGCTACACAGCCCTGACATAGGCTTTATGTGTTGAGAGACATTAACTAATGGCAGTAGCAGTCAGCAATCTAAGATCCATAGGCTAAATCCAGACTGCTGCCTATAAATAAAGTCTTACAGAAACAGCCCTACTTATTTGTTCACAATCTGTCTATGCCTGCTTTGGTGCTATAATAGCAGTAGTAAGCAGTTGGGACAGAGACTGTATGGTCTACAAACTCTAAAATATTTATTATCTGGTCCTTATAGAAAAATTTTGCCCTGGCTATATATAATCACCTGTGGACTGTGGGCTTTTTTTTTTTTTTTAAACAAAACAAAACAAAAAACATTGTTACCTGTTTTTCTTTCCCCCTAAACCAAAGTGAAGTGACTCCTAACAAGGAAGATGAGTTGAGAATAACAGGAGCTGAAAGGACCACTTCCTTAAACCACTGGCATGCCTCACCAGGGGTCTTACCATCTGCGGGCAAATGCACAAGGAGTCATTTACCCACACCCACAATTCCTAGACCAAATGGACCCTTCAATCTGGAGTTGGTCATCTAGTACCAACTCACCTTAAACTCTTCTTCCAATCCATTGTTGCTGGTCCCTGGGATTTTGTTGTAAATTTTTTGCAGGTGGGTTTCTAGAGAGGTCACTTCCAGTTCTGTATCCCCATAGAGATAATGCTCCAGAAGGGCTTGGTATATAAAAACATACTGCATCTGAAACACAGATGATGCCAAGTTCTCAGTTATAAACAACACAGTCCTAATGATACCACATCATCCCTCCCATCCCCAGACCACTTTTCTTTTCTTTTGATCCTAGCAGGGGCAAAATGATTCCTCTTATTGCCCTGACTCAGAGAAGCAGGGAAATGAGTCCTTCTGGTGGTGGTTAGCTTGGAAGGCAGTATTCCTATCTGCCTTGGGGATGGTGGAAGCTTAGTGAGGGGGACATATGCAACACTTCTCATTCTGAGAGGGCAGATTCAAGTTTGAAAGGACTGTCAGAAGTAGAGATACATAAAGTCTGTGATAATCTGTAATGCCCACTCTCCTGACAGCTTCCCTCCTCATGCTGTGCCCTGGCTACAAAGCCCATCTCATTGCTGCTCCTGGATGTGGCTGAGATACATCATGACTCACTTGCTTTCCTCAAGGACTGTTCCTTTTTTTTTGTGGTGCTGGGGATTGAACCCAGGGTCTTGTGCATGTGAGGCAAGCACTCTACAAACTGAGCTATATCCCCAGCCCATGTTCCTTTATCTTTTAAAGACCAGTGAAAATGACAGCTGCCTTCCTGACATGCCCATACCCAAAGTCAAAACCTCCTCTGTGCTTGCCTGCTTGCTTTTGATACTAGGGATTGAACCCAGAGGTGAGGGGTGCTCTACAACTGAGTTATATACCCAATCCTTTTTTGAGACAGGGTCTTGCAAAATTCCCAAACTGGTCTCATACTTGCGATCCTGCTACCTCAGCCTCCTGAATAGCTAGAATTATAGGCATAAATCACCACACCCAGCTGGTATTCTCTTTAAGCACTTTATTTTGGTATCAGGAATTGAACCCAGGGGTGCTTAAGCCACATTCCCAGTTCTTTTATTTATTTTTTTTTTTTTTGAGACAGGGCCTCACTAAATTGCTGAGGCAGTACTTGAACTTGTGATCCTCCTTGCCTCAGCCTCCCAGGCTGCTACGATTACGAGTGTGTGCCACTGAGCATGGCTGAGTAGATAATTTATAAGGGCTCTTCATCACACTGTATGATGATGATCATTTACAATAACCTGGGAGACTGAGTGAGCCCTTGAGGTAGGCAGATATTTTAGCCCCAGGAAAAAACCTACTGCCACCTTCACCCACAGATTACTCACATCTGTTTGCACCATCTGGCAGCGCTGGGCCCGGATTCGGCTCACAAAGCCATATACATCCACCTTCCGCTCTGTATGCATCATGTCCAGCATGGCATCAATGACGACAAAGGTACCAGTGCGCCCTACACCTGCACTGTAGCCAGAGGGCAGAGGATGGTTACTGGGATGAACAGCATGCCTTACTGGAGGAAGCAGGGAGGACAACAAAGGCTGGGACTCTTTTTCTAGGCCTCTAAATTCTAATTCTGAAGGGGAGGGAGTTAGGACTCTCTTGGAACCAGAAACTCCACTCTTCCCTGACCTTCTGATCTCTAGCTATCAGCACTAGGAACTCTGAATCTGAAGGCTGCAAGGATACATGGTCATCACATAATCCAGCTCCACAGCAGGGTCTCCCCACTACCAACCTTGGAGGACTCCTCTTCCTTCCCTCTTTTCTCAAGCCATATTCTCTACTAGCAGTTGAACTTGAGGAGTCTCTCTTGTTGCTCCCCTGGGGCCCTAGTGTTCATGTTCTCTATGCCACCTTCCTCAGCCAGGGACCCTATGCTGTTTCCTGCTCTGGCCAAGTGGGCAGAATGTGGGGAGCAAAGAGTCAGGACATACTGACCTGCAGTGGACCACAATAGCCCCTGCATACTGAGGGTTACAGGCCTTCACTTTCTTGAGGAACTTGAGCATGCCGATTGGGGTGAAAGGCACCCCAAAGTCTGGCCAGCTGGTAAAGTGGAACTGAGTGATGAGGCGCTGTGGTTTTCTGTTGGTCACGTCACCCACCTGTGAAATGAGGAAATCCTTTATGTTGGCCTTGATAACCAGGACTGGGCATCTCATGGGAGGGAAGGTACAACAATGATTGTCAGTTACAATGAGAAAGAGAATGTATCCAAGAAAGTTCTGACCATGGCCAGAGAATCTTCCTAGTAACTCCATGAGTTAGGCAGGGCTGTTAATATTATTCTCAACCTATAGGTATGGAAGGTAAAACTCAAGAGAACTTCAATGACCTATCAAGGCTTCAGAATGAGTAAATGGCAAGGTCAAAACCAAAGTTCAGGACTCCTGACTCTTGGTAAGGCTCTTCAGCTAAAGGCAACTTTGGCTCAGGCCTCCACGGTTGCTCTAGAGTGCCAAGAATATGCCCACCTGGTCCTTGCCATCAGAAGCCTTTGAAGTAGGAAAGGTGACTCTAGTATCTGGCAGATTGTGCTACCTCCCAATCCCCCACTCCATAGTGCTTGGTCMTATCTTGGATCAAACTCCACATCAGTTGGTACTTTATCCCCGARTCATGAAAACATTGTCCTTTTAAGGTCTGAGAAGCTCTCTGAAGGTCAGATCTCTGGTTTCAGACTTAAACATATCGCACACTTAGTGATTCTTGACCATATTGGATAGGAGGGGGGACAATAGCCTGTTCCCATCCTCTCAGTGGTTAGCTGATCCTAAACAAGACTGGGAAAGGAGGCGGGAGACAGTACCTGCTGAATGCAGAACTTTCGTACTGTGTAATCCACCAGGACAGTCACATCCTCTACAGACACACGGATATTCCCATAGGTCCAGCAGCCTTGGTCTGGCCAGTACTGGGCACACTTACACTGGAAAGAAATAGACACATACCCCCTCATCTCAGATTGCCCCTGGCTGATGCAAAGGGCCATAATGAAGTCCCCAGAAAGCCCTAGCACCTCTATTTTTACCTCGGACATCTGTGGGCTTATTCATTCTAACTTCCTTTCATCAAATTCCTCAGCTTCCATAATCTCTTCACAGAGCATCAGTCCCATATTTATCTTTCCCACACTCACTCCTTCAATTCAGGGCAAATCTGAAGTAATTTTATTTATAAAATCTGTCCTTCCACAATATCCCAGGTCAGGATTTAGGGGCAAGCCTGTCTGAACTCCTGGAGCCAGCAGTCTGATATGAGAGGGCCACCAAGATGGACTATGGCAGACTATAAACCTTCCATGAGAGGTCTAAGGCCTTCTCTGTTTGGAAGCTTTAAAGAATCAGAGGTCTATTTGAAGGAATCTAACCTAAAGCCCAGTCCTAGCACTATCCCTCTTAGGCACTAGGGAGCTGCTGATCAACCCTTAAACACCCCAGGACGGTGAGCTAGGTGATTCAAAGGCCATCCTTGAGAAAGATTGCCACAAATGGGGATTCTTCTCTGGGGCTTGATATAGAAACCCAGAATGTGACCCACTGATGATGCTGGATAAGGCCAGAAGTACACGTGGCAGCCACACAAGGAAAAGGAGCAATCAGAAATCTGACTATAGGACCAGGCCCCAAGCCTCAGGTTGTTCTGCATTCCTTCAGGGTGTCAATTCGCACAGGTCCCTCTGTCAACTTTAGGATATACCAAAGGCCTCATCAGGAGATGGGATAGGAAACCAAGGGAATAAGGGATTTGAGAAACTAGGGGAGAATAGCCTCTGTGGTTTTCCCTTAACTAAAGGCCTATGTCTTCCTTCCAAGTTATTTTAGAACCAGAGCAAGGTGTTTGACTACCAGATGTGGGAATGTGCCCTAGCCCCCCTAAGGTTCATCTGAGGCTTCCAGGCCACAGAAGAGTCTAGTACATACATCAGCTTGTGTTTGCCTGAATGATCCATGGCACAACAGCCACAAAGTATAGATAGCCAGGCTCCAACTCAGAGCTCCAGAGAGTAGCCTTTCTGCTGGCCACACCATATCAAGACCCCCCTTATCTAATTTCTCCACTCACCTCTTTTCGCTCTTTTAGGTTGGTCACCATGACAATGGTGGCTGTGTTTTGTTCCCAGATCATCCTCCAGAAATCATTTACTGTTTCTTCTTTTGGTCCTAAAGTAGCCAACAGCAAAGATTAAAACACACACACACACACACACACACACACACACACGAAAGGGAAGAAAGGTGCTAAGAAATTACCAAGATCCATTTCTGGCTTTTGAAATCCTATGTCCATGTTTTCAGCTAAATATCCAACCCAGCTACCTAAAATTTGAATGTTTCCCTTGTAACCACCATGTATGTGCCAGGCACTTGACCATGATTGGAGGCAAGAAGCTGTCAAAATATAACAGAACACAGTGTCTCTCACGGATATTACAGTTATACATTAGAAATTATGACTGTTTATTGAATACCTACATTATGGTCCAGATAATAGGCTAGATGCTGGATGTGACATTTACTCCTTCCTATCATGCTGAGGTGAACGTTTTCAGCCCCAAAGATGAGTGACTTGTCTAGGCTGGAATTCAAAATTTATAAGAAGGGGGCTGGGGATGTGGCTCAAGCGGTAGCACGCTCGCCTGGCATGCAAGGGGCCTGGGTTCAATCCTCAGCACCACATACAAACAAAGATGTTGTGTCCACAAAAAACTAAAGAATAAATATTAAGGAATTCTCTCTCTAAAAAAAAAATTTAAAAAAAAAATAAAAAAAAATTTACAAGAAGATTCTAAACAATTATCAGGTAACAAAGAAAGAAAGAAATGGGACCTAATAGAGACTAATGAAATTCCCAGAGTGTTTGTAAAGGGAAGCCTTAGGAGACTTGGGAGGCTAGAGAGCCTCTGACAACTAATCCAACATGGAGCCAAGGAAGGCTCCAGAAGGATTTTAAATTAATTTTTTTTTAAATTAAACCTTGTGTATCTGAAAGTACTGAGAGGAAATATATATACTTCTAATAATGATTTTAGGGGATGCCTAGTGTGTGCAAGGCCCTGGGACTGATCACCAGCACTGCAAAAAAGTTCAGGGGAAAAATTAGAGGTAGGCATATTAAAAAGGTAAATGACTAAGCCTCCTTATATCAAAGAAAACATTCGGCATTTGGTTTTTTGGGATTGGCTAACTTCACTTAGCATTATCTTCTCTAACTCCATCCATTCACTGGCAAATGTCATGATTTTATTCTCTTTTACTGCTGAGTAATATTCCATTGTGTGTATATGCCATATTTTTTTTTAATCTACTCATCTATTGAAGGGCAACTAGGTTGGTTCTACAGTTTAGCTGTTGTGAATTATGCTGCTATAAACATTGATGTGGCTGTGTCCCTGTAGTATGCTGTTTTTAAGTCCTTTGGGTACAGACCGAGGAGAGAGATAGMTGGGTCAAACGGTGGTTCCATTCCCAATTTTCCAAGAAATCTCCATACTGCTTTCCATATTGGTTCCACCAATTTGCAGCAGTTTGTGAGTATACCATTTTTGATATAAGGAGGCTTATTCATAGTGGGATAGGGAGAGAGAGCATGGGAGGAATAGACAAACTCTAGAAAAGGCGGAGGGGTTGGCGGTGAAGGGACGGGGCATGGGGTTAGAAATTATGGTGGAATGTGATGATCACTATTATCCACAGTACATGTATGAAGACACAAATTGGTGTGAATATAATTTGTATACAACCAGAGATATGAAAAGTTGTGCTCTATTTATGTAATAAAAATTGTAATGCATTCCGCTGTCATGTATAAATAAAAATAAAGGAAGAAAGAATGGGGGCTGGGGTTATAGCTCAGTTGGTAGAGTATCTGCCTCACATGCACAAGGCCCTGGGTTCAATCCCCAGCACCACCCGAAAGAAAGAAAAGAAAGGAAGAAAAAGAAAGGAAGGAAGGAAAGGAAGGAAGGAAAGAAAGGAAGAAAGGAAGAAAGAAAGAAAGAAAGAAAGAGGGAGGGAGGGAAAATGACTATGAAAAAGTACAATCATTAATTCCCAGACAAAACAACACAGTACTCCATGTTTCAGTTGTGAATATATGTATACTCATGAAAATGGAAGTAACAATTATTATCTTAACTCAAAACTGGGATCCAATTTTACTGGGAAGATGGGGAGAAGGGCACATTGTGCATGGCTGCCTGACTGAGGGAGAGGAGCTTTATAAGGGATTAGAGCACCTACAAGGAGCCAACAGATTAAAAACATTGCCTCAGGAGCATTAGACCACAAAACTAAAGAAGAAAGGGGAGAAACTTGTTGTTGATTTATATTTGTTTATGAGAAAGGGCCCTGCTATGTTGTCCAGGCTAGTCTGAAACTAGTGAAGTGATTCTACTACCTCAGTCTCCCCAGTTCTGAGACTGCAAGTGTGAGCATAAATTTGTTTGTTTACAAGTTTTACATTCCCTTTGACTTTCTTAAATTCTTTTTCATTATTTCCTGAATAATCTATGGTACAACAGCCATGGATATATTTATATATACCCAGTTTTCTTGATTCTTTTCACTTTAAAAATTTTCCTTCTCTGCCTTTTATTACTCTAAGTATTCCCGTTAGTAAAAATAAAAACAAAATTTATTTTTTTATTTTTTTTGTGTGTGCTAGGGATTGAACCCAGGGCCTTGAGTGTGCTCTACCACTGAGCAACATCCCCACCCAAAATGAAACAGTCTGAACTAAGAGGTGGCTGAATACAGAGGGAGGGAAAGCAGAGCCTTGTCAGGCAATAGGTAGGCCCCTTGCTGTAACAAGGAGTTTCTGAGGCTTTCCCTGACTACCTTATTTCATTGCTACATCTGTTTTAGTTTATATCTTTTTTATTATCTGATAGAAAGATAATTATGGAAATGTTTTATATCTGCACTTATGGAAATGTTTTATATCTGCACTAACACAGTAGCCTCTAGCAACATGTAGCTATTGAGCCTTAAAACAAAAGAACAATCAATAAGTCTTAGTACATAATCAAGAAACAAACTTTAAATTTTATTAATTAAAATTTAATGTAATGTGGGTTTTTTTTTTTTTTGAGGTGCTGGAAATGGAACTTAGAACCTCACACAGTAGGCAAGCTATATCAAACTTAAAATTTAATCTTAAATGGCCACATGTGGCTAAGTGGCCATCATAATGAACAGCATAGTCACTTATTCACATTTCTGTTAATATGTTTACTTGCTGCAAACTTTACCAACTAAATGCTCCAAAAAGGCAGAGACTTTATATTGTTTCATTCCCTCCATAGCCCCATCACTTAGGCCAGTGTCTATTATATAAGATATGGTCAATAAATAACTGAATAAGTCAGTGGACCACATTAACATCAATTACTCACTTTCCCTTTTTTTTTTTTTTTAAACCCTTGGTACTGTGGATTGAACTTAGGGGCACTTTACCATTGAGCTACACCCCCAGTTCTTTTATTATTGTTATATTTTAAAATTTTGAAATAGGGTCTACATTGCTAAGGATCACTAAGTTGCCCATGCTGAACTTGTGATCTTCTTGCCTCAGCCTCCCAAGATGAATGAAAGCCCTTAGTTGTAACTTGTGAGGTGGGTTTCATTTCTTTTAAGTAGTAATAAAACTACAGAAAAGCTACTGCATTCTCCTAATCCATTCAGTCTTTGGAATAGGGGAAACCCCAAATCCACTAGGAGATCACGGTTAAGACCAAGAATAAAATGTTGTCATTACTTTACCTTGTGCAGCAATGAATTTGTTTTTTTCTTGGTAGCCCTGGGGAGGCGGGAGGAGAATAAAGTGAGAACAAAAAGTTAATAGGAATGAAATTCTCTAGTCTAACTCTGAACCAGTTAACAAGGCCTTCCTTGTGAAAAGGTCCAGGCAATTAATAAGAATTTCCATTACAGAAATTCCCAAGAGATTAGCTTTGGGGATAAAAAACAAAGATTACAAACTGCAAACAGTATAAGTAGTCTTCTCAAAAAATTATTAGGGAATGCTGGTATAAGGATATTAAAATAACAACTCCTAGGCTAGACTATGTTTCTGATGTTTTATCAGCAGCCCGTAATGTATGTTTTAGTGTTACTGGGTACGAACCTTCCAAGACAGAAGTATATGAGGTAATTGCAGGGATGATGCTGGGCCTACTCTGAGGAGAACAAAGGGTTGTTTTATTTCTTTTCGTAGATATGGTGGGGGTCTCACTATATTGCTCAGGTCTGAAACTCCTGGGCTCAAGTAGAAACTCTCACCTCAGCCTCCCAAGTAGCTGGGAATAGACTCATATCACCATACCCTAGCTTATTATTACTTTTTTTTGGATGTTTTACCCAATGCAAAACATTCTGGGAATAGCCTATGGGTATGATGAATCAGCTCCAAGTGTTTTTGAGAATAGGTTTCCCAAGAAAGGCAGTGGGAGACAAGAAGCAAAGGAGCCTGGAGAGGCCACTCAACAGATAAGGAACCTCTGAAAAACTAAAACTGCATTAACTTTCTTTTTTTAGTCCTTACTGTTCCAGTTACAACTTTCAACCTAATAACTTACATATGGTACTCACTTGAGAAGTCATAGGAAAGTGAAAAATCATTTTAAGGACTGTGAATCACCCTCTTCCCCTTTCAGACAGCAATACAATGGGCAGTGAAGGAGGAAGTTTCGATGGGATGCCAGGTCATACCAAGGTAATGATATGAAACACAAGTCTACAAGTCAGAGGCCAAATAGAAGAAGGGGCCTAAATCTGAGAAGCCATTTTCTATTCCAGTTTAAACAAGGGCAGCATAGATGTGCTTCTGAACACAGAAGGAGAAAGCATTATAACTCAGAGATGGACATGTGCAGAGTCAGCAATAGGAAGCCTATTAAAATTTGTACTGAGAAGAATTTAAGTTTGGGCAAATGTTTCTATCACTGGAAGATAAAAACTGAGATATATTTTTAAAATATTTGATCTTTTAAAAAAAATCAGACTTAAGGAAAACTTGAAATGGCAAATATTCCTCCTAACATACAGTTGGGAAAAAACCCAACAGACTGTAGACAATGGTCTTTCAGGGAGATAAATGAGAAAAGCATGAGTTCCTTACATTGATGAATGAAGCATTGATGTAATCAGAATCCGGAACCCCTTCAACAGGTGTCAGGTGGACTCTAGAGTGGTCATCTAGGAAAAATCCAACAATTACTATTCCAGTAAATCCAATTTTATTTCTCTCTGATGCAATTGTTTAAGTCAGCTGAGACATCTGCAGTCTTATGTGTACTGAAATACTGATGTATAAAGATGTCATTCCAACATATTTTTAAGATCCCAAATTCAGAAACACAACTATCATCAGGGAATACATACATACATATACCCACTGTATGAAATATTAACCAATTGATAAAAAGGAAATTGTCTGACAGATGAACTGATAATATATAAGGTGAAAAGAAAAAAGAAAGGGGTTTGGGGATCTAGCTCAGTGGTATAACATTTGCCTCATGTACAGGAAGCCCTGGGTTCAATCCCCAGCACCATCCTCCTTCCACCCTCCCCCGCCCCCCCCTCCCCCGGCCAAAAAGTTCAATGTATACAATATACCAATTATATTTTTAAAATATATAGCAAATACATTTATGTATATACATATATAAGTATACAAATAAGTGGCTGTAAATATCTAGTAGAGTGGTCTTAATTTTTTGGGTCCTATATGTAACCAATAAAAATTTGAGCATGCATCTCTAACATATGTTCATTTACTGATAAATTATGCATAAAAGCTAACATAACTATGACCCTAAAACATAAAAATTTTAGAAGGATAAATTTTTAAAAAAGCAATATAAAATGAAGTTCAAATATTTTCCTCTTATACCTGCCTGGATTATGCATGTTCCATTTTGGAGACTACTGGGCTACAAAAATATTTTTAGATTGTAGATCAACTGATGAGCAAAGACTAACTCTGAGAAGGGGTATAAAGAAAACTCTGTATTGGAATTTCTTTCAAWGAGCATTACAATAAAACAACATCCCAATAACCCACTTCCTGTCTGGTCCTATTAAACTCTTCTCTCTGGCCTCCTAAAACTTTAAGTCTGCAACAAAAATCTTGACGAACCAGCCCAAGTGACCCTGTGGGGTGGCAAGAGAAACCATGTAATGGATTTTTCAGCCCGAAGTCTTGACCCTAGTCTACTATCACCCTCCCCTGATTCTTTCCATCCTCAGAAAATCTGGTCAGAGATTAATTTCAGGTTATAATCCCCCCACCACCACCACCAAACCCTACAAACACTCACAAGGCAAGATGTTTACATAACGATTTTTTTCCTTGTTTTCCTCTTTGGAGGCAGCCTCACAGGTGGCCTGGATAGGACAAGCAGGAAGAGCCTGAAAAGGTAAGAGAAATTAGAGGACTTTTAAAAGGCATAAACAGCAAATGTACAGACTCTCACCAAACCTGACCTGGCAGCAAGTTCTACCTTTACTCTGGGGATGAGGCCTAGACTCAGGTGAATACTTACAGTCTAACAGAGAGAATGCACTTCTCCTCTAAACAACTGCAAGCCCCTCAGAATTAACACCAAGAATCCCCAGGAGGTGAAGTGCCATTCCTGTTACTATAAGCATAGCATACTTTTTTTTWATGATACTATTTGATTAGGGCCTGTTACAATGCTGGGTTGAAATAAACCACCTTGTAATAGTAATGGGGTACATAACAGAAAAAAAAAGGGCCATTCATCCTCATGCATCTCAGTGAACCCAATAGGAGGGCTGATTTAGGCTCTCTTTAGGGCTCTCATATAGGGGCATGGCACCCCATCCTGTAGCATCATGAAGCAAGAAAGCAAGGACTAATTGGTGGGAGGGAGGGCATTCACATGGATGTAGCAGCTGGGAAGTAGAGTTGGGTAAAGTGACACTGTTGCAGCAGTTTTAGAGCAAATGTAAATTAGATAGCACAGGGAGGTATGTGGGCAAGCATAAAATGTTTTGACATGAGACAGCTTAGGTTGTATCAGCTTGAGTAAGCCTGTTAACCTTTCTAGGCCCAAGTTTCTTCATATGTGACCCTGCGATAATTACACCTGCCACAAGAATAAATGAGATAATCTTACATGTGGCACAAAATAAGCATTCAATAAATGAGTTTTACAAGAGTAGGAAGCTAAATTTTATTCAAACAGTTCGCTTCTTATGTTCTATTTATTTAAAACTAAGAAAAACAAAAAGGGAAAATAGTTTAAAATTCCAACCTAGACAATCTTTCTGAGAAGTGATTTGAAAGTATATTTTATTAGCCTTGAAAAGAGTCACAATCTTTTGACCTAGTAATTTAACTTCTCAGAATTTAATCTAAGGAAATAAAAATCTCTATGTTCAAAACATTTACTTAATCATTACTCAGAATAACCCAAAACTGAGAACAACCTTAGTATTCAGCAGTAGGAGAACAGTTTAGTAAATTATGGTTCATGTATTATTTTTCTTTCATTTTTTCAACAAATACATATTGTGTACCTGTTAGGCTAGGTACAGAGCAAACCGTGGTGGATCAAGCATATACACAATATAAACTTGTGGGTGAAAGACAGACATTAAACAGATAAAACAAATATATAATTACATATCATGATAAATGCTATGAAAGAACAGTATACTATTAGAGATAAAGTATCAGAAAGGGCCATATTTAGATTAAGGGTAGGTGTTCATAAGGAAGGATGAGTGTGGAAGACAGTATTCCAGGCACAGCGAACAGCACTTGTGATGACCCAAAGGCAGGAGAAGGCTTGCCTGTGTTAGGAACTAAAGGTCAGTGAAGGTGTCACACACTTGGTGAGGTTGGTGGTGATAACAGTAGGAATGGGAGGAGATGAACTTAAGGTCAGATTATTCATTTACATGTAGGTCTATGAATAAAGTTTGGATTTCAAGTGTGTGAGGAAACTACTGAAGGTTTTAAAAATGTGACTCAATTTACTCACTCCAATTGCTATGTGGAAAATAATGGTGTAGAGATAAGAATTGAAGCATGAAGTGGAGGCAGGGAAAGATAGAACAGGGAGATGGAATCATTTAATGTATACTCTAGAGTTAGAATTACTAGATTTGTTGACAGAAGGAAAGTTGCCCAAGTAGAGAAAGCCAGGAATGAAAAATGACTTTTAGATTTCTGGCTTTATTAAAAAAAAAAAAAAAAGATAAAATAAAAAATGAAGGAAATGCCAGCCCAATGAGAACCAATTTTGCCAGATGGAAACAAGTGCTTTAAGAAGGAACAAATATAACCACCATGATAGTAGTAGAAAAAATTAAACTGAAAGACTCTAAAATAAGGGGAATCAAGAGTCTCATAATCCATCTGCCTTCAATTACTCAAGGGATTTTCTTTTCAGAGTTAAAATTCTGGAAGTTATTATGCATGTCATTATACTAAGGGGGCAATTCCCTTTGCCCCAATTCTGTCAATATATGAAAGGGAGAAAGTTTCCTGGGCTGGACTCTTGTACATGGAACAGAGACCATACTAAAGATTGGAATTTCCTAAATCACCCACAGTTTGCCTTCTCTTCCTTCTCCTAGATTTCCATAGGTTTCCATCCTGGTTTAAATCAGGATGAAACACCAGTTTTTAAAGCCCTCGATACCAATATGGAGCATATTCTTTCTCTAAAATTCCTGTATACCCCTTCTCTAAGTGATGTAATTCAGAAATAGTAAGAGCAAGACTCTTGAAAATAGTCTTCAGTACTGAAGGGTCAGAATAACAATAATCATCACCTCACAGTCCTATTGGAATCCCTTACTCCCCTAGTCATGATGAAGAAAAACTAGGTCTCCAGGGGGCTAAGGCTCCTAAGAGGAAAGTTAGGAAGAAACAGGAACCACTGTTTAGCAAGAGAAAAGACAGGGCTTGCCTCCAAGAACACAGTGTTAGCTGCAAGATTCAGGCTGAAGAGCCTAAGCTGGGGATGAAAATAAGGGGAATCCTACTGCTTTTAGTGTCTACTTTTAAAAACATAGCCCACATAGGTAGGGAAGGAGCAACTGAATCACAAGCCTGCAGGATGTTACATTCTCTGAACAGTAGGTAGCATCAAGCACCATTTCATCTCTTGCTCAAGCCTTAACTATATCCAAGGCTAAATCTTCATTTTTTTAAAAAAACATGCCAGGTTTTTTTTAAAAAAATTGTTTTTCTAATTTAATTATTTTTCAAACATGTGCCTAACATTCAATTAGAAGTTCTCTTTGGATTCCTATGTCCTCTTCCTTCCCCTTGCATAGGTAAACTTGGAATTATATGTTTATCATTACACTGCTTTAATATATGGGAACCCCATATACTTTGCCTCCTTAAATAATATATTACTACTGTTCAGTCTATTTTTTATAAAAATAAAACGATAATCAAGTAAGTGACTTGCTTTTTTCCCCTCTTGGCTCAACATCATGTTAAGATTTTTCCAGGTGGTCATATGTAGCTGAAGTTCATTCCCTTTACTTTGTAGTGCTCCACTTTGTAACTATACCAAAATTTATTATTCTGTCCTACTACTGATGAATATTTGGGTTGTTAACAGTTAACAAACAGTCCTGCTCTAAGCATGAATTTCTATGTTTCTTCTACAAGCAATCAAGAATTTTGGGGCATGAGTATCTTTAACCTTAACAGATAAGACCAGACTGTTTCTTACTGTATTTATACTCCCACCAACAATATAAAGTGGTCTTGTTGATATGTATCTTCATCAATATTTGCTATGGTCAGAAATTTATTAAACACAGTTTTACTTATGTTTCTCTGATTATTGAGGGTCATCATCTTTCCTCAGTGTTTTTGATTCTCCTTCCATGAAGTACCTAGTCTAGAGTTTTTCCCAACATTCTACTGGATTATTTTCTTCACAGTTTGAAGGAGTTCTTTAAATATTCTGGATACTTATTCATCCTTTTACCAAGTTTGTGGCTTGCCTCTCATTTTCTTTATGGTATCTATTTATGAACAGAATTTTTGAAACCTTATATAGTCAAATTCATCAAATTTTCCCTATATCAATATTTTTTTTTTTGGTAGTGTGGGGAACAAACACACAGTCTTGCAGATGCTAGGCATGTGCTCTACCTGAGCTATACCTCTCAACCTCCTTTATGCATATTTTAAGGCTTTAGAAATTCTTTCCTACTGTGAGGTCATATTTTCCTACATTATGGTCTCTATATTTTCTAGTACTGTCCTTTAAATCTCAGTGTTTACACCAACTGGGATCAGTGTTTGTGTCTAGGATGAGACAAACATTCATTTCACATACTCCCAGAGGATTGCCCAATTGTCCCAGCACTATTTCTGAAAAGTCCATCCTTTCCCCAACCAAGACAGCAGCAGCATTTCTATCATAAATAGGTTTCCATTTACACATGGATCTGCTACTGGGCTCTCTATTTTTATTCCACTGATCAATCAGATCTATCCCAGTGCCAATATAAAACTGTCTTACTTATTAAAATTTTATAATAACTCTTTATATCTGGTAAGGCAGGTCTCCTCACCTTGTTCTTCTTCTTCGGGAATGTCTTGGCTATTCTTGGATCTTTTCTCCTCCATATAAATTTTAGAATCAGCTTGTCAAGTTCCACAAAAAACCTGTTGGGATTTTTATTGGAATTGCATTGAATCTATGCATCAGTTGGGGAGAATTGACATCTTTACAAAATTGAGTCTTCTAATCATTGATCCTATCTCTTCACTAACTTAAGCCATTTTCCTTTAATGTCTTCAAACATTTTTTATAATTTTCTCTAAAGCTTTTATATTTTGTTAAATTTATGCCTAAGTACTTTACTTTTCAGATGCTATATTTTAAAAAGTTACTAAWTTTTTCTGTTTGTAGCCTATATTTAAAAATGCCTTAATTTTTTTCAAGCTGCTTCTATATCCAGCAACCTTGTAACTAATTCTATTAATTTATCTGATGAGTCTTTAGACTTTTCTGAAGACAATATTCTCTTGAGTGAAAAAATACCTATTTTGTCTCTACTTTTGCAATTCTCATGCCTGACATATCTTTCTTGCTTTGCTGGGCTGCCTAGGATTTCCAGAACATATTGACTCTCATTTACTTTTAGGTTTGAATCCCCTTTTACATACTCTCTCCTAATAGTCACCGATGCCCAAACACTCTGGGATTTTACTAACTTTCAAGGCAGCTCTTAAAACGAAGGACACAACATCCAGATACACAATTTCTTTTGAATTTCCCCTTGTACTAACTAGTGTAAACTAAGATGTCAGCTGGTGCTTTCTCTGCCCCTTGCAAAATTGGAAGCCCCCACTTCCTGGAGTTCTAAAGCCCTTGTCACAGTTGCTGATAGTTCCCATGGGA